CCTCTCGTACACGACGGGCTTTTACTCTTACGAGTGTACATTAAAGGTGCATTATGTAAGAACTAAATCTTCTTATTGCAAGTCTCTCGTTTGGCCTCAAATATTATATAAATTATTAGACATTTTTCGAATGACAAACCCACAATCAATTCTCTAGATGATCGATTTTTAATGAATTGAATCACGATCGCCATTTAATAATTTAATTCAAAACTGGATAATCGAGACTTTGTTTATAATTACAGCAATGGTAGCAATGGCTACGCAATTCTTGTTAAAACTTCAAACACCGATAACAACGCTCAGAATAAAGTAATTTGACTGAAATTTTCAAATATTCCTTTCTTATTATCAATTTCTAATCTATAATACCGAGAAATTTCAGCTCTTTATCTAAATCATTCATAATGCATTTTTAACTATTACACCAATAGACAAGTTTTGATAATTCACATCTCTTTACACTTTAAGAAGGGGGTTGGATGGCCGAAAGGTTAGCACGTGCGTTCTGTATCATAAGGGTCGCCTGTCCAACCTCGTGGGTTTTCTCCGGGTCCTTCGGTTCCTCCCACTGCTAAAGACCCCAACGCGCAAGTTAATTACTGAAATAAAATTAAACCATATGTTAGTCCCGAAATGATCTAGTTTGTGTCGAGTGGACGTTAAAGCCTCTCTCTCTCTCTCTCTCTCTCTCTCTCTCTCTCTCTCTCACTTTAAGAAATATTTTGCTTGTAATAAATATACTCAAGTCTGTGTAGAATCGTATTAGAACAATGTTGTTACAATTGATGGAAGATTAGCCCCACCCAAATTACACACAGACCCTCGGGACTGTCTCGATTCTACTCAATTTTATAATCTTTGAGTTGCATTTAGCGATTGACCACAGTAAAACACAAGAAACACTGGTATGAAATACAATCACATATTTGTTATAGAAACTGTATTCTCTTGACAACTTGAGTACCCGAAGAAAACCCATGAGGTTGGACAGGCGACCCTACTCCTTGTCACGTCCAAGTGGGGAATCGAAACCACGCCACTTGGTTCAATGACAGACCTTATGGCATCACCCGCAGGCTTTAAGCCATTAGACCGACCAATCCAACATATAAATGTTACATAATATGAGGGGGATCACGTGGCTAAGTGGTAAGACGCTGGTTCGCTAGCCTGGAGGTCGGGTGTTCGATCCCTGTATTGGCCGAGAAAGTTCATCCAGATTTTCCGGCGTGGTTCCACTTGTCAGTGATGCAGGGCGAAGGGCCTGACAAGGACAGCTGTCTAGTCGTTCGGATGGGACGAAAAACCGAGGTCCCGTGTACACATTGGCGTGCACGTAAAAGATCCCTTGACAGTTGGAATTCAATATAAGAGTAGGCCGTAGTGCCGCTGTCCGCCCAAAACTTCCCTCATAGCACACTGTATGACGTATGCCCGTCTTCATTAGCCCAGTTAGGAGCAGAACAGTAGGACGTTAAACCCCATTTCATTTCATTTCATTTACATAATATGAGAGACAGTGGTAGTTAAAGTATAATTATATAGTTATCCAGTGACAGTACGTATAATTATCCCTCACACAAGTTACTTGTTAACTTTGTCTTAAGAAGAATAAATTGGCTGTTCCAGTTATAGGACAGAAGAATTCAATGGAATATTGGACGTTTTTGTGTAAACCATGTGACAATAATTTTGTGCATCCTCATGTTGTTGCTGTGGTGTATTTTTTAGTTAATTACAGCGCCATAGATAATTAGCGTGTAATATGAACTATTACTGTGCTAGAATTGAACCAACATTATGACAGTTTTACAGACGAACTTTTCAAATATGCCTTTCTTTTCATATCAATAATATTCATTAAGAACTGGGCGATTATAGTGTTGTTAGGTAGATGAACTCTTGAAGCTTTTTTGAGAAGGAATTGTCGTATATCTAGTACTTTAGTACTGTTTGTTATGCTAGAATAAAATGTTGAATCCAGCTTGTATTTTATTGCCGTCACCGCAAACTATGGTATATAAATATGTTGGTTCTGCTTTTAACTTACTTTTACTAATATCCACGAGATGTTTCCGCAATTAAACAACTTTATAGATACACACGAGACATAATCTTGATATACAATCACTTAAAATATAGTTGTATAATGTGGTTTATTTATCCATGCATGTCATAGGAATTCAGAATGATTGATTACGACAATACACGATACACTTCCTTAAACGTAAAAACACTAAAAATCGGTAATACTTGTGGTGTGATAACCGTTGCATCATATTGAAATTTTTAAAATAATAAATTGAGTACACAAAGACTTTTCAACACAATATTCGGTGTAAAATTGACACTGTTTTCCCTGGTAGAATATTAAGATAGACTGGCGCAGATGAGACCCCCTTTCAGTGAGAAAGTGGAACCGTTGACTATATTGTAGACTGACCTTTCAAGTTATGAGGCTGAAACTTGTTTGATCTATTTGTATACATGTTAATAGGATCAGACACAAAAAACAATACATGGCTGAAATATGACTCACTGAAAAGTACTAATGATTGAGCTATGCCTTGCAATATCTTCACAAATAGCTTCACAAATTTTATTCTTCTATATTTTCGCCAAATAACCATACTTACGGTCACGTTTGTTTTTCGGGATACACATCGGCTTCATTTTAAATTCCATGCAAAATTCATTCGACTTACACATCTTTTTCTGAAATTATTTAAAGACACATAATATAACATGTGATTGTTGTATTTTTTTGCTATATCTGCATGTTAAAAAGCAGCAGGGGAGGAGTGTTCGGACAAATGCGCTTCTGCATTGTCTTTTTTTTTAATTCCAACTGCTTCCTTACATGTATACTAAGCAGCAAAAGAAACGTCAGGTTGGTATGTTACTCTGAATAGACGCATTGCATAAAACCTGCCAAATGTTTTTATTGTATATTTGTGACCACCTCTCCAACTTTACCTGAGCAATAAGGCTCCTTCCCAAACACAGAATTGAACCCAGGAAATGTTCTCAAAAACGCAACCTGACTTCTGAGATAGTAATGTGTTCTCCATGATTTTCATGTAACGCATGCTGCACGTGCTGTTCACCGGGACCAGCCCTATGAAATGCACCTCCATACCTGTTTGAATCATTCACACTACAACGTCAGCAGCATGGCACGACTCACGACAGCTCAGAGGAACCAGGCACTTGGAAGACTCAACGCTGGCCACACTGTCCAAGCCGTTGCCAATCACTTCCAGGTCAATTTTTGGACCATCTACAGGTTTCAGCCGCGCTTTCGGGCCACCAACACCACGGATGATCGCCCCGAACTGGCAGACCAAGGGTACAGAATTCCTTCACAAAGGCATCCGAGACAGCACGTCAGACCGTGGGATCACACGGAAGACCCATCAGTACCGATACAGTGCGCCGACGTCTCACCATAGAGAACATCCATTGCCGTAGACCTTACCGTGGACCTATCCTCACCGCTCGCCATCGACGTGAACGTCTATATAGTTTGCCCAACAACACCAGAACTGGCGACACCGGCAATGGAGAACTGTTCTATTCACAGATGAGAGTCGGTATTGCGTATTAACTGCAGATGGCAGGACCAGAATATGGCGTCGACTTGACCAGCGTACTAAACTCTTTAAGTGCTTAGGGCCTCTGTGGGTTTTAATCCGGTACAAGTTCAGTAGGACACTGACCTCTCGTCATGAATATCCTGGAGAACAAGAACCTTGGGATTTGTCAACCCCGATTTTGACTTGTCAGAGGTGGCACTTGCGAGGCCGAGAACGAGACCCATGGGGAGGTCCAGGCATAATGGTTTGGGGTGGAATCAGAGAGTGGTTCCTGTGGTGTTCCAAAATCTTGGTCCAGGGAGAGGAGACGGCATCGGAGCAGTGCGCTACATCGATCAAGCTCTCAGACCCCACGTCATCCCACATTTCGCACGTCATCGAAACAACGTTTTCCAGCATGACAACGCCCATGCTCACACCGCCAGAGTTACCTGGGACTTTCGACAGCAGAACGGTGCCAACGTTATGCACTGGTCAGCCCTTAGTCCGGACTTAAACCCGATGAACATCTTTGGCATGAAATTCAGAGGAGACTTAATAACGTCGTACGGAGACCAAACACAGCCGATGGATCGCGCCAGGTTCTGAGGGTGTGGTTCCAGGTGCCAATGGCGTTCATCAATCGTTATTGACACTCGTGGTAGACACACCAGATACTGATGTATAAACTGTGTACAGACTCTAAACCTTCTCGTAATGTCGTGGAATTTCGATGAATTAATCACTAATGTGTCAACATACTGTTCACAAAAAATTGCTTTGATCCATTTAGTACGTCGTTTTCTAGAATTATTTGATTAAAGAGCCTCCCTGATTTTGAAATCGCACTGAAAGCACCGGAATTTACTGGAGAATGTCAATAGCGCTGCATCCTTTATGTTTTACTGGACAGTTACGTTTTATCGTCTTTTAGCTACTTCTAATATCATTTATGGATATAGAAAATAACAACATACCCTTTAAATAGAGATATTCATTATTAAAGCCTTACCAAAATGAAATGGGGTTTAACATCCTACTTTTTTGCACCGATTGGGCTAAGGAATGCGTGAAAACGCCATACAGTGTGCTATGAGTAATATTTTGCCCGGACAGCGGAACTACGACCTATTCTTATTTCAAATTCCAACTGTAAAGGGTTCTTTTCGTGCACACCAATATGTATACGGGGCCTAGCCTTTGCGATTTACCCGAAAGACTATAGATATTGTTCCTTGTCAGGGTCGCCGTCCTGCACCTCCAACAAGTGAAAACACACCTGAAAATCCGACAGAGAAAAGTCTTACCAAACAGGGTCTCTCTTTACTGGGATTCGGTAACCATGACATGTTACACCTGCATGTACTTCTAATACGTCCCCATGGACACCATTCTTTACACAATACGTCTATAGGTATCCTCCTAGATACACTCATTCCTGAAAACCAAACGGACCAGATATATTAAAATCGTCAAGGGAAACAAAATTATCATGCGGCAGTAAACGTTAAAATTTGTACTAACTGCCTACGTTACCAGCAGCGTGGCTGCTCTGAAAATAGTGGGGAAGGGTAGGGCCAGAGAAGATAATATTAAATTGCTGATGATGGATGTGCCTTAGAATTATTAAAATTATATGTGGATAAATATGTTTCAGACTACTGGAAGAAAATATGTTTCAAAGAAAGCTCACATAAAAATACTCATTACTTATCATCACTTTAGCCAGACCTGCATTTACTGCAAAAAATACTGGGCGCATCATCCATAATATTAAAAAATATATCAAAAACAAAGGACAATAACTTACTAATCTGACTTGACAAACACGTTGATATAACGCATGAAAGAATCAAAATTACAGCAAATCTGTCCATTTCTATTTTAAATCTGAAATCACAAGAAAATCACTCCATTGAGGGGAGTAAACATTTTCGAGGACCACGTTTGTCAAACATCAATATAAACGACACACATTTATGTATTTCTGCATGATACGACGAGAAACTTTTTTGTCATTTACCTGAAGACATCCAAGATTGAAGGTTCACGAAAAATGTCAGCCACACTATTGGCTATATTGTTATACTTCCGACATAAGTTTTTGATTTAAAATCATACACAAATGACAAGATTGTAATATTCGAATTAATGACGCATGGGCCTGGTTCCATAATTCCAAGAAATTTACCTGCCTGAGCGGAATGACCTACCTGTTACGTTACCTTGCAATACAATGCGACACAGAATACTGTTTTTATTTAGAATTTACTTTTGTTATAAGATAAATCATTTGATGATGTCATGAAATGTATGATCATAATGAAACAAATATTTATTCAATTTTTTTTATTTTTTTTTGCCTAAGGGGAGAATTTAGTCATTAAAACAAAAATAACGTCATCGGAGTAGATTCATCACTATCACAAATTACCAATCCTCACCAGGAAAAAAATCTCTGATCGAGTCTAGGAAGGTAGCCGAATAATGACTGTTAACGTCATTACGTTTTTTTTAAAAATAAAACAGGTATGGAACGTGGTGTTTAGCCCCCGTTAAAAACAGTTAAAGGTTTTCTTTCTTTCTAAATTAACTTGGGAACGACTACAGAATATTCTTTTCGCTTTTCTGACATGGAGTGTGAAAGTGATATCTAAAACAGTCTATGGCCGACTATTTATTCCTTCATTTTATTGCTGTGTCCTCGCCTGAAACTTTACCATAGTTACTATGATTCCCTCATTTTATTGGTGTGTCTCACCTGAAACTTTACAATAGTTACTATCGATTCCTTCATTTTATTGGTGTGGCTCACCTGAAACTTTACCATAGTTACTATGGTTCCTTCATTTTATTGATGTGTCCTTACCTGAAACTTTACCATAGTTACTATGGTTCCTTCATTTTATTGGTGTGTTTTTACCGGAAACTGTACCATAGTTACTACTGTTCCTTCATTTTATTGGTGTGTCCTTACCTGAAACTTTACCATAGTTACTATGGTTCCTTCATTTTATTGGTGTGTCTCACCTGAAACTTTACAATAGTTACTATGGTTCCTTCATTTCATTAGTGTGTCCTCACGTGAAACTTTACCATAGTTACTATGGTTCCCTCATTTTATTGGTGTGTCTCACCTGAAACTTTACAATAGTTACTATTGATTCCTTCATTTTATTGATGTGTCCTTACCTGAAACTTTACCATAGTTACTATGGTTCCCTCGTTTTATTGTTGTGTCTCGCCTGAATCTTTACAATAGTTACGATTGATTCCTTCATTTTATTGGTGTGCCCTCACCTGAAAATTTACTATAGTTACTACTGATTCCCGAAACTTTACCATAGTTACTATTGATTCATTCGTTTTATTTGTGAGTCCTCCCCTGAAACTTTTCGATAATTACTATTGATTCCTTGAATTTCCAATAAAACAGACGGATTACAGTTGCTATGGTTATGAGGTTATTCATAATTTTCAATATCTCGTGCCTATCTCATTAAGGTGCGATTTTAAGATTAATGAGTAATGGTTGTTTATATCTTGTGATTTACTACGCCACGTGATCCATTATACAACCTTCTATAATACGTCATGTTAAGTGTTTTAGAGGAGTCTATTCTGAACACAAGAAACAGCTATTTTATCTTTCCACAAATGCGTTCAATCGATTTTATAACACCAATGACAGTTATATTTAGAAAGTTAGAATCGTCATCCCTAATTGATCATAGTTCTATTGTTTAGTGATGGTTTGTAGCGTAGATACAGTAGGTTGAATGTGTGAAAAATCCAATATGGCGGCGGCAATGACTACGATATAATAGGCCTTCAGATATAATTTTTAGTGGTAACCATCTGAAATACTCTATGGGATGTCTGCGATAAGGAGGAAATGACCTTTCATATATCGAAACAATGGCGGGATCGATCTAAAGGGTACAAATCAAATCAAAGGGAGATAGACCCAAGAACTTTTCTTTCCTGCGTTCATTGGTTATGAAGTGTGCTATCAAATGTTTTATGTGAATTTATTATTTACATCAATGAGAGAAATGGGGTTTAACGTCCACTAAACACATAATGCACCTTTATGTTTGTTTTTGTTTAACTGTGCGCGCGCGCGTGCGTGTGTTTGTGTGTCTGTGTGTGTGGGGGGGGGGGGGGCGTGTGGTGTATACTGGATTCGGGGCCACATAACGTGGCAGACCTTACGACACCATCACCATCTTTTGAGAAAGATATCCTTGTGTATCGGGGCTCTTTAGTTTTGGGGCTTGCCTCTTTTTGAACTGGGCCCTGTGTCTCGAAATCTTAACTGAAGATAAAATCCAAATTTTAGTAGATAATTCAATTTTGATTGGCTAAGCACTAAAATTAATCAAATATTATCCAATCAAATGACTAAAATTTTGATTTTATCTTAGTTAAAATTTCGTGAAACAGGCCCCTGGTCTTTTTTTAACGAGGGTTCTTTTAGTTATTATCCGTAGATATCTAACAACAGGCTTCGAGGCTTTGTTTTCATTTCATTTATAAAATCCCAAATAACAGTTTTTCGTAATTACATTTAAAGTCCAAATTTTATTTTTATTTTTCTAAAGCTATCTTATGGACTTCGTTCCATTTACAAAATCCCAGATAACAGTTTTTCGTAATTACATTTAAAGTAGCTAAGTCTCTAACTCAATACCATCCAAAGTCTTGGACATTGAAAACACGATTTATTTTTCGGTTTAAATCAACATTGATGTTGTGATCTTACCGGGAAAAGATGGCCTTCTGATATCCAATATTTAAGACAAAATAAACATTTTACAATTGGTACGCAAATCGTGTACCATCATGCTTTTCAGCGCTATTTGTAATAAGGGACTCGAAACACGAGGCTAGGCATATTCCACAAGTCATGTCAAACGGTGACGCTATATTCTTATCTGGAGAGCATGCCCAATAAATACTATCGGCGTAGACTGGAATAACCAGACGCTAGAGATTGAAATTCGATTGAGAATACTGGCGTATTTCGCCGAACCTTACTGATTAGAAATTACAGTAAAAACAGAAACGATTGAATGTAAATCAATTTATATACATTTATATTACATTATTATATGCGTTGTGACCTATTTCTAGGCCCCAAATATTAGCGACTTAGCTCCTTTAAAGTTAAAATTTTATTTTTCTAAAGCTAACTTATAGACTTGATGTCATTAGAAGCTAATGTACGCTTTAGATTATAAGATTCCATGGCTTCCAGACAGGAAGCAGGATCGCCTGTCTAACTGCATGGGTTCTTCGTTAGTATGTTCTAATCATCCCGGCTGATGGGTTGATCATTTGTCATTAAACCCCATGGTGCTTTCAACGGGAAAATATCTACAATTAATTTGATATAAAAACATTGACCCAAAACACTGACCTGCTTATAATAAAATTGAACACATTATAAATCTCTATAGTCTACAAACCAACAAAGATCATTAAAACGCTGATGAGATGCATCTTTAAAAGTTATTTAAATTTTTAATCTGGCCAACTTCGTCACCTACTTTACGTGGATAGATAGATATTTCAAAGGAACATTACCCCCAAGCGGAATTTTTCCCATCCGTATCACGTATCCGTATCGTCACGACACGGTTAAATACCTATGTTGCGTCAATGGTGGTCGTTATCTACCAAGATCACCAGTAGTACTAGTCTAGTGCCCAGCTTATAAATTGGCGATTGGTGAGAGATAGAGTTAACGTCCACTCGACACAAACTAGGTCATATCGGGACTAACATATGGTTCAATTTTATTTCAATAATTCGCTTTTGGGTAGGAGTCTTTAGCAGTGGGAGGAAACCAGAGGACCCGGAGAAAACCCACGGTTTGACAGGCGTCCCTACTCCTTGTCACGTACAGTCGGGGAATCGAAATCACGCCAATTGACTCATTGACATACCTAATGATACAGCGCGCACGCGCTAACCATTCGACCCCACCCCAAACCCCTGAGTTTGATGAGAGCACCCGACACCCAACCCCCTGCTCCTCCATTCACACTTCCAATATTTGGTATTAATACTTATAACTAAAGTATGCTAGCTATCCAAATGATGACTACATGTACATTTTAAGTATAATATTGTGCTATGATCATGCTTGTGGCGCATACAAAACTTAGGCTGTCCACATGAGAACAGACACTAAGCTAGTTGACCGACGTTTTAAGTCATAAATCGATTATTTTAGTCGAAAAAACTCACATAAGTTAATTATCCTTCGAGAATTTGTTTAAGTGTTTAGGCTATTCTGTTTCCATTTCATAAAATTGAAAAAGTTTCTTCGGCCTTTGTATGACAGATGTGAAACGGAGTAGAACCACATTACAAAACAGTATACTAACTTTGGGAAATGGCGGCCATTTCAAGCAGAGATTTATTCCCGAAGTGTGAAATGAAATGAAATGAAATGAAATGGAGTTTAACGTCCTACTGTTTTGCTCCGAACTGGGCTAATGAAGACGGGCATACGCCATACAGTGTGCTATGAGGGAAATTTTGCCCGGACAGCGGCACTACGGCCTACTCTTATATCGAATTCCAACTGTCAAGGGATCTTTTACGTGCACGCCAATGTGTACACGGGACCTCGGTTTTTCGTCTCATCCGAATGACTAGACAGCTGTCCTTGTCAGGCCCTCCGTCCTGCATCACTGAAAAGGGGGAACCACGCCGGAAAATCTGGATGAACTTTCTCGGCCAATGCAGGGATCGAACACCCGACCTCCAGGGTAGCGAGCCAGCGCCTTACCCACTTAGCCACCGTGATCCCCCCCCCCCCACCGAAGTGTGAAGTAGATGGCTTGTATCAATATAGTATGGGGGATTCTGGATTGGGGAGAGCATCAGATACCCATTCCATTCAAACTTCCAATAACTGTTAATGAGGCAAACATATTTCTAAAATTAGTAAGCTGTCAAAATGGTAATTAAATATTACATTATGATTATAATATTGTCATATTAACAGATATAATATTATGATAGATAACATGACAGTGTTAATTAACTTGTTTACATACCAAAACCTGTAAATACGGACTATATACATTAATCATAATTGTACATAATTTTGCTCATATATCACTCTTTCGTTTGTAAATATCCTTGCCATGAAAATAATTACGCTGTTGGACGCCGTGTATATCAGCAGCACTTTTAAGGGTGGATTTGAAGTTGTCGGGCGAAAGGTAATGCTATTTGATGGGTGGGAGTTATTTTGGACACCGTTCTTCCTTATGATTTCTCGATTAATCCAATTAAATTTTAAATCAGTAAAGATGTACAACTTTGTAAAGTTTCAGTAAAAGGGGCAGCAACTCTGCGAAAATTTGCTTTCGATGGGACTCGATTTATCTAACAATTCCAGCGAATCGAAACAAAAAGGAAATTCATGTTTCGAAGAGGTGAAATAAAATAGAGCATCCGCCGTTCAGTGTACTACGAGGGAAATTATTTCCAGTTAGCGGCGCTACGGCCTACTCTTTATTCGACTTCCAATTGTCAAGGATACTTTAACGTGCACGTCCGTGTGTATATGGGAACTGGGGGTTTCGTCCAATTAGAACAAGTAGACACTGGTTTACCCCCACCCCACCCCCTCCTGCACCACTGACAAGGGAAAAAACATTGCGGAAGGCCCCGAAGAAATATCTCGGCCAACACTGGTTATGTAGAGAACGTCTTACTCACTGAGCCACCGTGAGTCCATTTTTATAGACATATATATATATTGGTCATAAACATGTGAAGGACGACGGCGAGACAAAACCCCTATGGAAAAGTACATATTTGGACGTCATGTCAAAAAGGTTTATGGGTTGATTTTGGCCATATCTTTTAATAAAGGCAGGGGCGGGTCCAGGAATTTTTGCAGGAGGGGGTTTGCCAGGTTCCCGAGACAATGTATCCCCCCCCCCTCCCGCATGGTCTCTATCGTCATTTTGGCGTACATACATATACATTGAGCTTTTTAAACAGAGAAATTGAACACCTGGTTTGACGTTAATTTTTATTATGAATTAATACAATGACATTGTGATTCAATTTGATGGATACAAAGCATTAATTGTGATATCACATAATGTCTATATCATTATCTCGTGCTTTGGGTGCCCATCCTGTTCCACATCTGACGATAAGCACACGGCCGAGAAACTTTTCTCAAAAAATGTATTGATTTACAATATTTTTTATGTAGCTGAGCATGGGGGGGGGGGGATCCGCCCCTGTAAGCGAAAATGTTTCTTTTCTGGAATAATGAGAACCGGTTTCCATATTCAGGGAAAAGTGTATTGGTTTGCATCAAACACAAAGCATTGCTGTTGTTAATCGTTTCGAGGCTGCCCAGGTTAGTTTCAAGACGCGGTGACTAACGACAACCAGTAAATTGGAATGAATGGCCCAGTCGACCCTTCCCAGCAACCAATAAGTAGCCATAGGTCCATAGGCTAACCATATAAAAGTCCATTTTTATATTAAGAAGAGCATCTTTGCCACGATAGAAGTCCAAGAGCTGTTGTGTACAAATATCTCAGCGAGTTAAAATAAGCATCATATTCTAGAAAATGCAGTATCCCGGGCGTGTCAAAGTCAACTACTACAGGTCATACAAACTTCGTGAAACATTTGTAACACAACGTGGTGATGGTTCTTGACCTATTATCTATGTTGAATCGAAGACTGAACAGACACGCAATTCTTTCCATTCTGTAAAATGAATCATAGACGTCCCTGCTATCTAGTTTCCCATCCTGCAGCAAACACAGCGTCACGTCTCTAACAGTGTTAAGAAATGATGTTCGAATCTTTCCACATATATTTGGGCGTGGTTTGACCTTTGTACTAATGAGAAGACACGATGGTTATTAGTTGTATACTTTATTAGTAGAAAAAAATGTTTCATACAAAAACAAACAATAAATAATTATATATTTTACAACAGTTTAATCCACGTATGATACACAAAATATTGAAATGCGAAATTACTCATCGTTCGTTGTCAATACCGATATATTTAATATACATTATTATATACACATGGTTACACCAGCTGAAACCTATGTATAATTCCCTTTTGTAACAACTTAAAAGGGGCATTTTATTTATTAAACCATAGAGAAATTGGAATTTCGATGAATAAAAGGTTTATTTCTGTTATTTATAATAATTGAAAATTATGCATAAAATCCGTCTGTAACAACTTTGAAAAAGACATTTTTTTAAAATTAAATTTGATATAATTTCGAATATTAGTGAGTAAATTTGGGGTTTTCCTGTTAGTTAAAATCCATGATCGTAAATTAATACCCGGTTTAATTAAGGGCTTGAAAGGTTTTTCTCGTTTGTACCAGTGTTAGTGGTGCGCCTATAACTTGGTCGCCTTCTGCGTCGATACCTTTGCCTACCAAACAAGTTACGGATCAAGGGCTGGAACAAACCCTGTAAACTGGTACTACCTTGGCCTGTGCGAGCTACCGGTAACTGAAATATGCTGGGCCCTGGGGTAATAGATGTCGTGTGACCGTGGCCATCAGAACCAAAAATCTTCGTTCGTCTAGGACCACGTCTGTATCCTTTATTAATGGCATATGTTCCTGATGTTTCAGCGAGTCCAGACCGGGGAGCGTTATGGCGTAGAACTGCACCATCAGTTATCCTTGTTTCTAAACAAAATGTCTCGCATCTTCTTCGGGTCATAAAACGGTTAGCATTCCCACCACAACCACTGAAACTAAATGATGTACAGCTCTGAGTTTCAGCATCAAAATAGTACCTGGGGCCCTCTCGACGTCGTTGTCGTTGTCGACGTCGTCGTCGTAAACAGCTTCCTATATCCTTGGGTAATCCACAAGCTGAAAATAAACACCAGTCGTTATATTTACTCTTTCTAATATTTTAATAAATTTTTGGAAAAAATGTTGCGCTCTCAACATGACATGCTCATTCTTTCCAGGTAACGTGATACCTCTTCACGATTCCCCTTCCTGGCGTAAAGAAGTATTGCTTCATTTAGATGTTAGCATTGGGCGCAATGCAGAATAGACCTAATATCTTGAAGGTTAGTAATAGAAAGTTAACAATAAACAGGTAGGCTCTACAGACAGGTATCTAGAAAGTTAGCCATAAACAGTGAAGCTCTATCGATATAACGGCAGGTATATCTAGAAAGTTAGCTATAAACATTGAAGCTCTATCGATATAACGGCAGGTATATCTAGAAAGTTAGCTATAAACAGTGAAGCTCTATCGATATAACGACAGGTATATCTAGAAAGTTAGCTATAAACAGTGAGCTTTATCGATATAACGGCAGGTATATCTAGAAAGTTAGCTATAAACAGTGAAGCTCTATCGATACAACGGCAGGTATATCTAGAAAGTTAGAAATAAACAACGGGGCTCTAAACAGAGTACGCCACCAGGTATCTAGAAAGTTAGCTATAAGCAGTAAGGAGCTATGGCGACCACGCTAGATATCTAGAAAGTTAGTAAGGAGCTATGGCCAATACCCCATTTATTTAAGCACCGAGGAGCTATGGCGAATATACCCGGTATTTAGAAAGTTAACTATAAACAGTGAAGAGCTATGGCGACTAAGCCAGGTGTCTATAAAGTTAGCTACAAACAGCGAGTACGCCAGGTGTTTGAAAGTAACTATCCCATGTTATAAATGTACATGGGGAAAATTGCCTTTGTCCTATTCGCGACACATGGCTTCATTCTCGGTTCATTAAAGCATACTGTACTTTAACTATACTGTGAAACAATGCTTTATCATTAAAGGTGCATTATGTAGGAGCTAAATCTGCCCATTTAAGGTCTTTTTTTCTCGCTTATTATAAAATACTTATTCACACGACAAGAACATAATCAACTTTCTAGATGGATTGGATATGAACTGGATTAGTTCATATGTGTCATTTAATCTATATGACAATCGAGAGAACATTATTCCTGTCAAAATATTCATAACTTATCTATTACAGCTCTTTATTCAAATCTTACATAATGCATCTTTGAAGTACACAGTGCATGAAATTATATTGTTTTTAGCCGTGAAACGTTGTCTTACCATTGCTTGGACGACCGCTATTTGGGCCGGAAACTGTGGTAGGAGGGACACACATAGCTTCAGCGAACCCTCCTGATCTCATCAACTTACAAACAGTATTACCTTCACATGTCTTATGCTAAAATGCAAGAAAAAAACATTTATAAACAAAAGAGGAATTTGAATCGGATATTTTCACTCTTGAACATACTGACTGAAGATACCTGATGGCTTAATCCAAACTTATATGTAGGCCTACGGCATATAGGGAATCTAACTCCTTGGCGATAGTCGCGTCACTAATTTCGTTTCAGGTACACTTTTAAATAAATTTTACGACTTACTTCACATAAGTAATCACTACATTGGCATCTTTCTGGGACGAGAGATTTCGTGCACAATAAAGTACAATCTGATGGATCATTGTTGGTCACTGGTAGTGGTGGGGGCGACATTACAACACCAACTGAAAGATAAATACATTACACCCATAGATTGATTCCAATGCTACTAGAACATCGTAGACGAATTCATAAGAAATCGTATTGGGTCGTTACAAAAGCGGACTATAGAAATCCAAGAAAATGAAATGGGATTTAACGTCCTACTGTTCTGGTCGAACAGGGCTAATAAAGAGGGACATACAAGGGAAAATGTGCCCGCACTGCGGCGCTACCATCTACTCTTATATTGAATTCCAACTGCCAAGGGATCTTGTATATGCACGCCAATGTTTACACGGGACCTCGATTTTTCCTCCCATCCGAACGACTAGACACCTGTCCTTGTCAGGCCCTAAGTCCTGCACCACTGACAAAGAGAAACCACGTCGGAAAATTCCGATGAACCTCCTTGGCCAGCACCGGGATCGAACCCGCGACTTCCAGGTTAGTAAGCCGTGTCTTACTCACTTAGCAACCGTGACTCAAGAAATCCACGAAAAACTCATTTGTCCGAGAATACAAAAAAGTCATTATTCAGCAAACACAAATACAACGTTGGTGGTTAGTAAACATACCGAATATAAGGTAACTGCGTTCGTATTTTATAAATAGGATAATTTAAGTTTTGCATACCCGAGATTGGTTCTATATGATCAACTACACCAGTACCATGAGATACTGTAGGAGCATTATGATGATCTATAATACCAGGTGTTATATGCTGCTGTGAACAAGTTTCTTCACATTCGTGTAGTGTTTTAAAATTATTACTATTTCCACCACAACCATTATAAACAAAGCTATCACACATATGTGTCATAACATCAAAATAGTACGCAGTAGTCGAAGGTCCTCCACATGGTATACCTTCATCCATTGCTAATCCACATCCTAGAAAGACAAGACATTTTAGTGTACTTAATACTATAATTTTTTCAACTACAGGAAATATTAGTTCTGCCAACTGTAAATTAGTTATGCCATCAAGGACTTAAGCGTTCATCTATGCGAACTGTGAAGTAATTATGGAATCAAATATTTAAGTGTGCATCTATGCCACATGGAATGTTTTGGCCAGCGATGATTTATGTGTAAAGTATAGCATAATAATAGCTAAACGCAGTAAGAACAACTAGATTTTCAAAATATTTTATATTAAAGTATTCACTGGTAAGCTGATACCGTTGACTTATGAATGGCAATATTTGTCATTAATTCATACAGGTGATCATTATTCTAAACTAATGTTTAGTTTTGTTTTGTTTGTTAGTTGTATTTTACGTCCGCTTCCACATACTAATGTTTAGTTCGTTCGTTCGTTGTTTCTGGAGTTTTACGTCCACTTCCACCTAAGGTGATATCGTAGACAATGTTTAGTGATGATGAGTTAGTTGTATTTTACGTCCGCTTCCACCGAGGTGATATCGCAGACAACAATGTTTAGTTAGTTAGTTAGTTGTTAGTTGTGTTTTACGTCCGCTTCCACCGAGGTGATATCGCAGACAAGCGAAAGTATGAAGCGAAAGTATTTATACAGTAGTCATTAATTATAGGTGTGTAACTAACTGTAGATGATGTCACTACTGGTGTAAAAGCATGACTAATTTATAACCGTCATCACTATTGAATAATACTCACCTGAACAATAGTGGTGTATATCATTCAATAGTCACGGATTTAACACCTTAGGGAATAACACCTATATATGACTTCTGATTGACTACTAACAATTTTAACTAACTAATAAACATTATGTATATAAAATGACGTCTTTGATCTGTTAGTGCCACATATTTTCATTTAAAAAAGTTATTTGTTGCTTAGTCAACTTTACGGTGAATAATAACAATATTTCATGTATTCGTACGTAAACAAGTACACGTACATCTTGGGTTTTGTTATATTGTTATATTTGTTATATCTCACATCAAATTGAAATCTCTGATATAAACAGCTTTTATCTTATCACCATTACTACCCAAATTAATATTTTGTGTATTAATGATATTTAATAAAATTCGGATTTTTTGATTGTATTAAAATGTATATATTTATGATACCATGTGACATTATCCCACTGCAAATATTGTACCATGGTATCAGTAATCTTACAGAAAAATCAGATGAAATAAATATATTACCTGTCGTGTGATGGATTCCATGACTTTGACCAGCAGCTTGACCAGTAACTGCATCAACAGGTAAACATAAAGCTTCCACCATACCTCTCTCCCTAACTAAACGACATACTTCAACACCATGACACTGTTGGATCTGAAAATAGTAGCACATAATATAATATCCAACCCTTTAAGGGACAATAAGTCAAATGATTCACAAGTAAAAAAACAAAAACAGTATTACGTTACTGTATAAGGGTTGTTATTGTAAGCATACTGTTATTATAAAGATTGTTATTATAATTATAAATATAAAGATTGTTACAATAATTATAAAGTTTGTTACAATAATTATAAAGATTGTTATTATAATTATAAAGATTGTTATTATAAGTATAAAGAGTGTTGCTATCAGAGTAAAAACTGTTGCTATAAGCATCACGAATATTACTATACCTAAAAAGAATATTCAAAAGTATAAAGACTGTTTTTCTAAGTATTATTGCAGTTACTATAATTATATCAACTAGAAAGAGTGGTACTATAATTATAAAAACTGCTATTATAAGTATAAAGTATGTTACTAAAAGTATAAAGAATGTTATTAAAAACTAAGCATGGGATATAAAACCTAGATATAGAATGTGGTTCCTCACTTACACCACTTATCATTAATTTAATTTTCTTCCAGTGCTCGGGCTTTAAATTAATGTAAATTCAAACGACAATAACTAAAGTTGGATTTATTCGTTTTAAAAAATCTTTTGGGTAATGTGTTATTTGAGAAGTGTACTTACATTTTGTACATTATGTGTGTTTTTTGTTGTAATTCATAAGAAAACAGTTTTCCATTTTCTTATTGTATCGAGTTATACGAGAAATTAAAATTTGACAACAATGATAATTTGTACTTACATCACATAAATGTTCAGCACAGTGACATTTTTCAGGTGCTATGTTGGTCTGACACATTTCTATACATTGTGGATCACTTTCTGCTGGTACTCCTGGAGAGGGACCGCCGGTGATTATAGCAGGTGGTTCAGGTTGTGGTAATGGACCTGTTAAACAATCAATATCATAAGGTACACGTGCTTCTGTGGTAGGTTCTGTGGAGCCCATCAGACATTGGGTGTTATACACAACCAATGTGCTTAGAGATATTCATATAATCAAAGCTGGTCAAAAAGGGAAAAGCTCTTTTCGAGTGTTCGCTAGCAGAACTGTGCTGTACCTAAGGGGCTCATATCTGGTAGTTAAATATACAATATGAAAAAAACAGAGTGGTGTGACTTTGTACACAGATCCACCTCTACGCACTGGGATATCTTATAAATGGCGAGATAACCGACAGAGTATCTAATCAAGTATTTCCAAGTGCAACCAATATTTGGTAGCTAAGTGAAATCCTTGAGTTGCATCATGTCTTTGGGAAAGAATAATTATTTAAATATTCGAGCATACATCAAATTGCCAGTTCCGTAATGTACAAGCATGTTATGTGAATGAGACTATAAGCTCGACTTGGATTAAGAAAACTCGTGCTAATGGATAATCCTCGTGCCATAGACAGCCCCATATACAGTAAAATGATACTGATTTTGTACTTGTGAACCATCTGATCATGACTTATAATCCCTTTGACGAGTTGGCTATTATATATTATGTGGTGCTATTTTCAGATACAACGGGGGCTACCGTAGCTAAGCAGGTAAGACGCTGGTTCGCTAGCCTGGAAGTCGGGTGCTAGATCCCTGCACTGGCCGAGGAAGTTCATCCGGATTTTCCGGCGTGATTCCCCCTTGTCATTGATGCAGGACGGAGGGCCTGACAAGGACAGCTGTCTAGTCGTTCGGATGGAACGAAAAACCGAGATCCCGTGTATACACGTAAAAGATCCCCTGGCAGTTGGAAATCGATATAAGAGTAGGCCGTAGCTCCGCTATCCGGGCAAAATTTCCCTCATAGCACACTGTATGGCGTATGCCCGTCTTCATTAGCCCAGTTCGGAGCAGAACAGTAGGACGTTTCATTTCATTTTCAGATACAACAGTGTCGTGATGTGGGAGTATGTCGTTTAGTTAGGGAGAGGAGTTTGGTAGAAGCTTTATGTTTACCTTTGTTATCAATATGGAATCCTCAAGGAGTATCCAGTCAGAATGTGTAAGGATTCGAATATCGCAATCGGGATACGTTACAAAATACACACATACTAGCACCGATGTGTATGGGGTTCAACGAATAAGTATAATCACCTGTATTTGTTGTTCCTATTGGTTCTATATGATCAACTACACCAGTACCATGAGAAATTGTAGGAGCATTATGATGATCTATAATACCAGGTGTTATATGCTGCTGTGAACATGTTTCTTCACATTCGTGTAGTGTTTTAAATTTATTACTATTTCCACCACAACCATTATAAACAAAACTATCACACATTTGGGTCATTACATCAAAATAGTACGCAGTAGTCGAAGGTCCTCCACATGGTATACCTACATCCATTGTTAATCCACAACCTAGAAAGACAAGACCTTGTATATGATAACAGGAAATACCAACTACTATGTCTAAAGTACAAGATAATAATATCTAGACGCAGTAAGAGCGACTATATTTTCTAAATCAACTATTTGATATTATGTGAACTGGCAAAACATGGTACCGGTAATCTTACAGAAAAATCAGATGAAATAAATATATTACCTGTCGTGTGATGGATTCCATGACTTTGACCAGCAGCTTGACCAGTAACTGCATCAACAGGTAAACACAAAGCTTCTACCATACCTCTCTCCCTAACTAAACGACATACTTCAACACCAAGACACTGTTGTACCTGAAAATAGTAGCACATAATATAATATCCAACCCTTTAAAGGGACAATAAGTCATAATCAGGTTGTTTATAACGTACAGAATCAGCATCACTTTACTGTATAAGAGCTGTCATTATACATATATTTGAGTAAAAAGAAATGAAATGAAATGGAGTTTAATGTCCTACTGTTCTGCTCCTAACCTGGGCTAATGACGACGGGTTGAGTAAAAAGACTTTTACATTAATTATAAAGACTGTGGCCATAAATATAAAGACTGTTAATGCATAATGAAGAGTTGATATATTTTATGCGCCATTATGAAAGAGCTAATTCTGCTTATTACTCCAAGTCTTTCCTTAGGTCTTAATTGGTACATAAATTACTAATATAACATTTTTAAATATTATGATAAGACCATAATCAACTCTCGATGTCATCTGATGGCTCCGATTTTAAGTATATTACAACCGTTCGGACATTTAATGATTTAATTTAAAAATGGAGATGCGAGGCTTAGTATCAAAATTACAAACATTGATAACTTAGCACAGAGTAGAGTAATTTGAATGAATGTTCGATATATTCATTTTGCATTATCTTTTTATGAACTATTACACCAAGAACGGCCAGTTCTTTATCTAATTCTTACACAATGCGCCTTTAACTAAGCACCCATAGGACATAAACCGAGATACAGAATATGGTTCCTCACATAGAACAATTATCATTAATTTAGGCTTGTTCCAGTGCATAAAGACTTACTACAGCTTTAAATTTATGTAAAATTCAAACGACAATAGCTCGAGTTAGATTTACTCGTTTTAAAAAGATCGTGATGTGATAAGTGTAATCTTGTTTAGCATATATTTAAAAATAACATGAACTACAACAAAAAACAGTTTTCCATTCTCTTATTGTATCGTTATGGACACAATTAAATCTTTTGTTTCGAGTTAAAATTAAAATTTGACACCAATGATAATCTATACTTACATCACATAAATGTTCAGCACAGTGACATTTTTCAGGTGCTATGTTAGTCTGACACATTTCTATACACTGTGGGTCAGTTTCTGCTGGTACTCCATGAGATGATCCACCGACGACTAGAACAGATGATACAGGGTTTTTAAAGAACGTTTTGAACAATCAATTTCATGATGTACGCGGGCTTTTCGGTAGGTTCTATGGACATCATCACACATTGTTTGTCAAACACGTCCAATGTGCTTAGAGATATACAAATACTAATGTCCAAAAGAAAGTATACACTGTGCATTTTGTGCTGCATCAACCAAAGTCGTTTTTCCATGGTATACTGTATTTGGGTAGAATGTCAGTTTGTTTCACATTTTTATTTTGCTTAGAAATGTTGAGTTTGGACGCAAGAGACAAACCCAGTAATGCTTCATCAAATGTTTTTAATCTAAACAAAACTTAGTCATACTTTTAGTGTGTATACTTTCTTTTGGACATCAGTAATCAAACCTGGTCAAAAAGAGAGACGTTGTTTTCGACTGTTCAATTTGGGCAGTGATCAGCTAGATCAGCGTTACTACAGCTATGGATAGTTTGTATCATATAGTTAATGCCTACTGTAGAATTCCAATTTAATATATAATATGATGGAACAGACAGAGGGTTATAACTTTGTACACTGATCAACCTACTCGCCATTCCCTTAATATATGTTATCCCCAGATCAGAGACAACCGACAGTATCAAGTCACTAACCCAGTGATTTAAAAATACAAACAACATTTGACAGCCATGTGAAATCCTTAAGTGGAATCATGTCTTCTAGAAAGAGTAACCAGTTCCTTAATATACAAGCATGAATGAGGCGATGGGTTCGATTTAGATTTAAGAAACTCAAGCCACCATAGACATAAGACATAATGTACAACCAACCTCTGTTAGCTATATAGAATCCTTAAAGAAAAAAACTACACCAATACTAGCATTGGTGTTGGGTTTAACGCATAGTATAATTACCAGCATTTGGTGTTCCTATTGGTTCTATATGATCAACTACACCAGTACCATGAGATACTGTAGGAGCATTATGATGATCTATAATACCAGGTGTTATATGCTGCTGTGAACAAGTTTCTTCACATTCATGTAGTGTTTTAAATTTATTATTATTTCCACCACAACCATTATAAACAAAACTATCACACATTTGGGTCATTACATCAAAATAGTACGCAGTAGTCGAAGGTCCTCCACATGGTATACCTTCATCCATTGGTAATCCACAGCCTAGAAAGACAAGACCTTGTATATGATAACTATGTCTAAGGTGTAAGATAATAATATCTAGACGCAATAAGAACGACTATATTTTCTAAATCATAACTATCTGATATTATGTGAACTGGCAAAACATGGTATCAGTAATCTTACAGAAAAATCAGATGAAATAAATATATTACCTGTCGTGTGATGGATTCCATGACTTTGACCAGCAGCTTGACCAGTAACTGCATCAACAGGTAAACACAAAGCTTCTACCATACCTCTCTCCCTAACTAAACGACATACTTCAACACCAAGACACTGTTGTATCTGAAAATAGTAGCACATAATATAATATCCAACCCTTTAAAGGGACAATAAGTCATAATCACGTTATAAACAAGTACAAAATCAGCAGCACTTTACTGTATAAGAACTGTTATTATATATATATTTGAGTACAAAGACTGTTACCATAATTATAAAGACTGTGACCATAAATATGAAAACTGTTAATGCATGATGTCTGTTTTTATGATTCAAGCAGGCATTATGAAAGAGCTAAATCTGCCTATTACAGGTATTTCTTTAGACAATAAATGTTATATAAATTATAAATTTGACATATATTAACATGACAATGCCATAATAAACGCTCAATGGCATCTGATGGCTCCGATTTAAAGTAAATTTAAACGGTTTGGCCATTTAATGATTTAATTTAAAAATAGAGAAGCAAGGCCATGCATTGAATGACTAGCACCGTAGTTACGATAATAAACAACCAATGCACACATCTTGTCAAAATTAAAAACATTGATAACTTCGCACAGAATAAAGTAATTTGAATGAATTTTCAATATATTAATTTTGCATATATTAAATTAATTTAAAATAGAGAAGCAACGCCATGCATTGGATAACTAACATCGTAGTTACCATAATAAACAATCAATGCACACATCTTTTAAAAATTAACTTCGCACAAAATACAGTAATTTGAATGAATTAAATTTGCATTATCCATTTTTAAACTGTTATAGCAAGAACAGCCAGTTCTATATCTAAATCGTAATGCCCATTTAACTAAGCACCCATAGGACATAAAATCGAGATATAGAATATGGTTCCTCACATAGAACAATTATCATTAATTTAGGCTTGTTCCAGTGCATAAAGACTACTCACTACAGCTTTAAATTAATGTAAAATTCAAACGACAATATATTAAGTTAGATTTAATCGTGATGTGTGATTCGATAAGTGTACTCTTGTACAGCATATAATAAAACATAACATGAATTATAACAAAATAGTTTTCCATTCTCTTATTGTATCGTTATGGACACAATTAAATCTTCTGTGCCGAGTTATACAAGAAATTAAAATTCGACATCAATGATAATTTGTACTTACATCACATAAATGTTCAGCACAGTGACATTTTTCAGGTGCTATGTTGGTCTGACACATTTCTATACATTGTGGATCAGTTTCTGTTGGTGCTCCTGGAGAGGGACCGCCGGTGATTATAGCAGGTGGTTCAGGTTGTGGTAATGGACCTGTTAAACAACCAATATCATGATGTACTCGGACTTCTTTTAGAAAGAGTAAAAATCTAAATATTCGACCATACAGCGAATTGTCAAGTCCTTAATGTACGAGCATGCCATGTTAATCAAATGATGGGTTCGACATCGATTTAAGAAGTACATGCTACTGGACAACATTCATGCCATAGACAAACCAGTGGTTTAAAAACTACAGCCTTTGATAGCTATATATAATCCTCAAGAGGTATTCATGCTTCTAGAAAGTGTAAGGATTCAAATAGTGCAAATGGGATACGTTACCAAAAAAGAAAATACACCAATACTGGCATTAATGTTTATGGGGTTCAATTACCTGCATTTGGTGTTCCTATTGGATCTATATGATCAACTACACCAGTACCATGAGATACTGTAGGAGCATTATGATGATCTATAATACCAGGTGTTATATGCTGCTGTGAACAAGTTTCTTCACATTCGTGTAGTGTTCTAAATTTATTACTATTTCCCCCACAACCATTAAAAACAAAACTATCACACATTTGGGTCATAACATCAAAATAGTACGCAGTAGTCGAAGGTCCTCCACATGGTATACCTACATCCATTGGTAATCCACAACCTAGAAAGACAAGACCTTGTATATGATAACAGGAAATACCAACTTCTATGTCTAAAATACAAGATAATAATATCTAGACGCAGTAAGAACGACTATATCTTCTAAATCATAACTATCTGATATTATGTGAACTGGCAAAACATGGTACTGGTAATCTTACAGAAAAATCAGATATTACCTGTCGTGTGATGGATTCCATGACTTTGGCCAGCAGCTTGACCAGTACCGGAATCAACTGGTAAACATAAAGCTTCCACCATACCTCTCTCCCTAACTAAACGGCATACTTCAACACCAAGACACTGTTGTATCTGAAAGTATGGGAATTTAACACCATTCGATCATTTACACTGAGATCAATATGAGACAATTATATATAGTTCGTTTTGTAAAATAAATTCCAAAACGGCAATACTATATACCGGAAAACACCGGAAAACACCGGAAAACAACCGGAAAACACCCGGAAAACAGCATTTTATACTGAATACCGGAAAACACCGGAAAAACACTAAATACCGGAAAACACACTAAATACCGGAAAACACCCTAAATAGGTAACCCGGAGCCTGGTCCTCTGTGTGCGGTTTTTGACCAAGTGAGCGGCGATGAAGGAAGGTCAAGGTCATTACGATGTTCGTTTTACAAATAGCCCCCCACCCCACCCCACCCCCCCAAAAAATTCCGATTTTTTTTCTCCAAAATTTTTTTGACGAAAAAAATTTTCTGTCACAAAACAAAAATTCGAAGTTTTCCGAAAAATTGGTTTTACAAAAAAACATTCCGTAGAAAATAATTTTACAGAGAAAAATACTGGAAACAAATTTGAATTTTTTTTTGAGAGAAATTTGGGAGAAGAAATTGTTAAAAAAAATCTGAAAAGGAATTTTTCTTTGACCGTAGGCGATCGCTCGCTTGTATGTTAATGAACTTATTTCATCAGCGCTTACCTGGTCCAAAACCACACACGAGGGCCAAACTCCGGGTTACTAAATAGCTACCGGAAAACTTAGAAGAGTAAACTGTGCCCGAGATTGTTTTAGAGAGCGCGCCGCGCCGCTCCGGGAGGGATCATCGTCAGGGTGGGACGGGGGTGGAATTTCCAGTCACGTGACGAACATAGATCTTCCGTTCCTCAACCTATATTATTTCCACAGTCATTGTCATTAATCACAAATTACGGGATGATATACGAAAATGCAGGTTTACTTTGAAATAGTGCAAATGATACTTTCCATCTACAATCTTCAGATAAAAGGATGCAAGTTCTTACACAGTGCAGCATAATTTGTGCAACAGAAGACATCTCGAATATCGATTGCCTGAAAAAAATTTTTCTCGGGGACATTTTTTTCCGAATACGCATTCTGTGTAAGTCTTCAGCCACCAGGATGTGGTTAACATAGTAATGTTTTATTACGATAGTAGTACATAAAACAAATTGGTTGCCTGAGGTTCTCGGGGGGAAAGTAGCCTCATCGGCTAGAGTCCTCTATTTCACAAACAAAAACAACAATTGCTTCCTTGAAAATTTATCGATCAACCCTTTTCAGAGACGTCCAGCTTACCACTTCCCGTCAGTGCAGTAAGATAGAATATGTAGTTTTCTCATGGACAATTGGGCAAAAGTTGGGGTTTTCTCAAGGAAAACTGGTCAACAAGTTGGGAAAAAAGATCGAAAAGTAATCCAGAAAAAAATCCTGTGTGTGGCCCTCGGAATATGATGGAATATGTTGAATATTATTATAGTTCAAGTGATTACTTAAAACACCTGTTAGAATCACAATTTCTGCATGTCCCTTACACGCTTCTGTACAATCGAAATCTTAATTCGTTCAAACGAGATACTAATTCGTTCAAACGAGATAATTAATTCGTTCAAACGAGATATTAATTCGTTCAAACGAGATACTAATTCGTTCAAACGAGATAATTAATTCGTTCAAACGAGATACTAATTCGTTCAAACGAGATACCAATTCGTTCAAACGAGATACTAATTCGTTCAAACGAGATAATTAATTCGTTTAAACGAGATACTAATTCGTTCAAACGAGATTCTAACTCGTTCAAACGGATTAATATTTTTTTTTTGTTTGGCACTAATGGGCGCCTTCGTAGATATCTGACAATTCATAAAAAGAATTGACTGCCACTAGATAAGAGAACACGTAATAAAAACAGAAAAAGTCCGTGCATTACCATGTTTTTATAAGGTATAGAATGAATACAAGCATTGAAATGTACGGACTATTTCTATTTTTCTCGTGTTCTCTTATCTAATGACATTCAATTACTTTATTGAATTGTCAGATATCCTCTTACAGTCCCATATAACAACTTTTGGTCTTGGAAGGAATTATTAGTGAGTAGAAATTCGGCCGTGTGTCTGTTATCACTCGTCGCTTCAGTCATTTATATAGAGCAGCGACTTGTGTTTTCCTTTGGCGTTCGTCACTTCCGATACGGGAAACCTGTATTACTCAGCTATCGTAGCAATGATCGCTCATCCCAAACTTAGGCTGCCTATTTACAGCTAGCTCCAGCTGAGAATAGGCCCTAAGCTAATTAACCGACATTTAAATTCCTACATCGACGATTTTAGTCGAAAACACTAAGTATGCTTTTAGAAATTTTTAAAAGTATTTATTTCTCTTCTATTGCCATATTGAATGAAATTAAATATGTTTATTTAGCCGCTGTGTATATGAAAAATGTCAAACTAATCAAAGCCGAATCACAAAATAGTCCTCTAATTATTCAATATGGCAGCGCCCATGAAACATAATTTCACAGAGGCGGTTTTATTTGCGAAAACAAATTTAGGAGTATCTAACCTTGTTTTGAAAGATAAACAGATTGAAACTCTAAAGACAGTTTACAATGGTAAAAAATTTATTGCAATATTACCAATAGCACATATTATATATCGCTTTTACGTGAGTGTCAGCGACATGCCGTGTTTACATAAAAAAAAACACGTGCGTGGGTTATTTTTACTCTGTTGTCTAAACAAAGCGGTCTCGAGTCGATAAGTCCCGCCCCAAAATGATCACATGAGCGTTTTAAATGGCGGATAATCAGTGCAGTGTCACATTCTGGGAAGTATGACGTAGATGGGTCGCTGCGTGCAGTATGTGATCTCTGTGTTAAAAATATATTTGGAATGTGTTTAACCAGCTCTAACACATATGTGATAATGACTGGCACCAATATTGTCCTTTAAAATGGCAATCCCTATATATTCCGATGAAAGCTACGAAGGTTTTCATCTTCTGGTTATATTCAGGATGCAGGGCCAAGGCTATGGTGACAAAAATGATTCCGATTTATAAAGTTTCGGAGCAAAATAACACCGACAGGAAGGTTCACAACCGTAACTCGAAAAATAATTGTAGAAACTGTGAATATATTTATAGTTATTTCACATAAATGTTACAACAATGATAATTTATACTTACATCACATAAATGTTCAGCACAGTGACATTTTTCAGGTGCTATGTTAGTCTGACACATTTCTATACATTGTGGATCAGTTTCTGCTGGTTGCAGTTCTACTGGATTTACTGGATGTGCCGGATGTATGGGATGTGCTGGATGTACAGGTAGAGATGGGAGTTCAGGACCAGCTACCAGAATGGGTGGGTTGTGTACATCAACTACTGGCGATGGAAGTCCCACAGTACCATGAAGATCTAAGATAAACAAATAGTGGGTTTTTGTTTTTATTTTTTTTTTAACATTGGTAGAATATTGAATGTTAAAATGGATCAGTACACATACGATGACGAGCTGCGACAAAACACATTTTTTAAACTAATAGTTCTCTATCGATAAGGTTTATATCTGTAAATTATTAATATACATATTTTTAAATGCGATATTTACACCGATGACTTTTCAAAAATACTTGATACTACTTCCCATTTGAGGAGTTCACATAGCTATAACAGTTTGGTTGCACTTTTGCATGTCCAGTCAAAGTGCTGCTTTGGATACCTATCCTATTCTATAAAGACTTGACAATGTCCACCAGTTTACTTTTCCTGGGTTAAGGAGAGAACACAGAGAGAGAGAGAGAGAGAGTTTAACGTCCACTCGACACAAACTAGGTCATTTCGGGACTAACATATGGTTTAATTTTATTTCAATAATTCGTTTGCGCGTAGGGGTCTTTAACAGTGGGAGGAAACCGGAGGACCCGGAGAAAACCCACGAGGTTGAACGGGCGACCCTACTCCTTGTCACGTACAACCGGGGATTCGAAACCACGCCAGTTGACTTAATGACAGGCCTTATGATACATTCGGCCATCCAACACGCCAAGAGAACACAGACAATGTCCAATAGGTATACTGTTAACGGGTTAGGAAGAGAACTTGGACAATGTCCACTAGTTTACTGTACCTGGGCTAAGAAGAGAACTTGGACCACCGACTGGATTTATTAAAGAATCTACAGGTCTAGTTCGTGGTCTCTGAGGCCGTCCGTATAATCTGTATCGATATTGTCTGTTACTGACAGGTAATGGTGCGGGATTTTGTGGTACTTGAATTTGTCGTGTAAAAGATGCATAAAGATTACTCAGCAGTGATTGTGGTTGCTGTTGTTGGTTAGTATTTGTGGCGCCATCATATCGGTTTCTTGTAAAACTTGAATCTGGCTGTGTACGGACTAAAACTGTGAACACAAAATACAAATATATACTATACATGTAGTATCTCGCTACTAATCAACTCTACAATCATTTCACAATAAATGAATTAGATATCTTTAAAGATAATAATCCATATATGTGTATGCTATATATACTATTTAAATGTAAAGAAGCACATTTATATTCACTGACAAATAAAGATGTTGGTTAGGAGACAATACAAATAAAAGAAGTCTTTAAATAACTCCATGTAAGAATTGGTCGATTTGGACCAAAATGTATTTTTTAAAATATAAGTACTTTTGATTGTGTATACCATTAATTTCTATATTTAACCTTTATTCCGAGATGTACGGTGAAATCACGGCCATGGAAAAAATTATTTGTAAACTGATACATCGAATTATTGTCAACTGATTTTAATAGCCTAGATTTAGATGTTATCTTTTCAGAGCTAAGGATATTCCGCGGTGTAGCTATTGAATAACACATGAAATTGTATATATTACGACTTTATCGCAACCGTAAGGCCACACCAGGTTGATTTTTTGTTCTTCGGGTAGAGAGAGAGAAATGGGGTTTAACGTCCACTCGACACAAACTAGGTCATTTCGGGACTAACATATGGTTTAATTTTATTTCAGTAATTAACTTGCGCGTTGGGGTCTTTAGCAGTGGGAGGAAACCGGAGGACCAGGAGAAAACCCACGAGGTTGGACAGGCGACCCTTATGACACAAACTAGGTCATTTCGGGACTAACATATGGTTTATTTTTTATTTCAATAATTCGCTTGCGCGTAGTGGTCTTTAGCAGTGGGAGGAAACTGGAGGACCCGGAGAAAACCCACGAGGTTGGGCAGGCGACCCTACTCCTTGTCACGTACAACCGGGGAATCGAAACCCCGCCAGTTGACCCAATGACAGACCGTATGATACAGCGCGTGCATGCTAACCATTCGGCCATCCACCCCCACCCTCCTTGTTCTTCGGGAACACCTGTATTGTTTCTTATTGCTTCGGGGAAAAGACTAATTTAAAAACCAAAAGTACCTGGTTGCACTGTTCAAAAGGTTTTCAAGTTTTAAACAAGAAGAAGAAGTGAAAATTAACTTGATTAATTACTTACATTGATGAGAATAATGGAAAGCAGCTGTTAAAGTGACTAATCCAAGAAAGAGATTCATTTCCTATGTAAAATAAAAGCAATATACTATTATACAAGACACACGATCTACATTCAAATAAATATCCTAGCTTTTAATCTTTCTTAATGGGGATATATAACCCATTTCTGTGATTGACGTCACGCTAATGCTAATGCGTATAACGTCATTATACTACTGTCAATATACTATTATACAAGACATACGATTTACATTCAAATAAATATCCTAGCTTTTAATATTTCTTAATGGGGATATATAACCCATTTCTGTGATTGACGTCACGCTAATGCTAATGCGTATAACGTCATCAAATCAGCTGCCCCCATCTTTTACTGTCAGCGTATCTTCGTCTAAGATGATCTATCATGTGTGAAAGCATACATTACATCTGCATAAAAATATGATCACTATGAGTTTCATTTGACGAATTTTCATTCCCCGAGATTTGATTTATAAATTCCTCGAAACAAATGTAATGGGGCTGCTAACACAATACTTCCGGTAATTTTAGACAAAATATACGTGTACAATACTAGAAGAGAATGTAAGCCTGCTAGGGGCGTTTCCGTCTATACTGTTTGCAAAGAATGTAAGAACACAATCTTTCTAATTACTGACTAGGTCCTCAAATGATTTTTCAATCAGGCTAACTCAATAATACACATTTTGTTCTCATTCCACGAAATCCCTACATTAAATTATGATACGATGAAAAAAATAATAATAATAATTGTTCCAATTAAAACTCTTCAAACAACCATTTCCTTCCATCTTGAATAATCTGTGATGGTCAATATATATATATCCCATTAATTTAAGAGACATTTAATTTTTCTAATTGAAAATATTTATAAAATATTTTGTGTAAGTTGCAATGTATTACTGTATACTTACTTAAGCTTTACAAAGCCCCAACACAGAAGGTCTTTGATTATATATTACCCAACCTGCAGTACAAGTATTGACTGAGATATTAATGTTATTGCTTCTAAGTTTATGTTTAAACCTATCGCTATGATTGATCGGCGATGACAAAATACCTACATTTATGGAAAGAAAACCCCATATCGAAGATGGATTATAATAGGCTTGTCATTTTCTTTCTGCATCCTAAAAGTTGTCGCTGATAAATATAATTAATCTCCCATGACCAATCAGATCATGGGATTGTTATTTTTCATATGTTTCCTATGACATATGAGGATTCACATTGCAATTCATCATAACAGTTATGTGAAGTATGAAGTCAATTGGATATTTTGACGTTAGTTGTTATGTGAACACCAACCTCAGCGGTTGAAGAAACTCCAAATAAATTAGAAATTAATCTGCATGGACTTTTTTTTTGTAAATACGTTTTGTTTTTACATCATTGAGAATACATATCACCTTTTCATAAAAATATATATGCACATTGCATTTATATTTAGAATACATTACAGCTTTAACATTATGCGGGTGTCAGACTGTCCTGAGGGCTGGCAAAAACATTGGCATGCCAAATATTTGCCGACAGACCTTGCAAAGGTTCATTTTCGTGTTGAATTCGTGTATCCATTTTGCCCTTCATAAGGCAATCATTGAGGGGGCATCGTGTCAAATCGTAACATCTTCGTCTTTACTTCGTGTGATCATCGGTGCTAATGTGCATTTTTCCCCTCACGAAGATAATACGAAGTAACCAAAGATTCTGCCCGATTGTCTTAGGGAGGCAACACATCGTAGTACTATGACATCAAGATGATGGGGCCACGGTGACGGCGAAGACAGCCGAATTTCAGTTGCTCAAGCGTGTCCCATATAAGGCTGGGCATATAAGGCTGAATTAATCTAATTTGAAATAATGTTGAAATGTACTGTGTTTTCTGTTCCCAATAATCTCCGATCAGCAATTGAATTTCCCACGGTCGGCCGAAGGTTTTTTACCATCCGGAAGTCAGGCGCGCGACGCCTTCGTGACCTACTTCGAACGCATCATAATCTCAATACGACGTCGTGTAGCCATCGTGTTATCTTCGTGTGTGGTTCGGAGCAAGCATGTGACATCCTGTAGGTATCGTCAAGGTCGCGAGATGTAAATAGGGTTAGGGTACGTGATTGTTGACATGATTGTGGGTTAGGTTTAGGTCTCCACATAAGCACTGACCTAGGATGATGAAAATTTAGTTCGTGATATTCCCTAGTTTTATATAAAACAAAAACATACGATGCGTTAGATTTGTATACAAAGTTGATTTGATGTTTGTTTGCTTTTGGTGGCACCGAAGTGCGTCCTTAGGTGGTACTTGTGGTATTCTGGTATTTTTGTTTCTGAAGAAAATTATATTTCTATAGGATCTGTTTGATGTGGCAGATCTTGGCTCCAGAATAGCTTTGTATCTTCCAAAGGATTAGAGGATCCAATAACTAGGGTCTTGGCCATCACAGGTGGTAGGTACTATGAACCCTTCTCATCTTTAACTTTGTAGCTGTGTGGTCTCTTCGTGGAAAGTCTGCAGCTGGTAGGAATGGTGGGCGATCTAGGCGACCACACAGTGGAGACATGGAAACCGAGAACGAAAGTGAGCGAGGCAAAACCTGGGGCGGACATCGTCATGAAGTTACTTTATATAGTACGCGGATGTACTTTTAAAAAACATTAAAATATTACATATTTTTAGGGCATATACCAAATATCTGGCTATTTGTGTCTTTAATGTTTCCGGTGTAATCTGACTACAGTAATAACTCCTTTATCGGTTCGGGGCCACGATGCCTCGCTA